TCCAAGTGGGTTTTGAAGATCTCCAGAGAAGGAGACTCCACAACCTCTCTGGGCAGCCTGTTCCAGTGCTCTGTCACCCTCACTGTTAAGAAATTTTTCCTTAAGTTCCTATGGAATTTTTGGTGTTTCAGTTTCCGGCCATTTCCTCTAGTCCTATCAGTGGCCACCACTGAAAAGAGACCAGCACCATCCTCCTCACTGCCTCCCTTGAGGTACTTCTAGACACTGCTCAGGTCCCCTCTCAGCCTTCTCTTCTCCAGCTGAACAGGCCCAGCTCCCTCAGCCTCTCCTCATAGCGCAGATGTTCCAGGCCCCTGATCATCCTCGTAGCCCTGCACTGGACTCTCTCCAGCAGCTCCACATCCCTCTTGTCCTGTGGAGCCCAGAACTGGACACTATACTCCAGATGCGGCCTCACCAGGGCTGAGTAGAGCATCATCTTCGTGGGGCAAATATAGATGAGCTGCACAAAGTGCATGGGCACTACTGAGGGCAAAGCCTGCGTGAGCAGGAGGGCATGTTGGGATCTTATTTCAAGCGTGGAAATGTGTTTGATTTTTAGGTCTTGGACGAAGCTAACAGAGATGCTGATCTGCACCACGTGGCCTGCAACCTCGTGAAGAAGCCAGGAAACATCTACTACATGTACAGGCGGGAGAGCGGCCAGCGATACTTCTCCATCCTGTCCCCTAAGGTGGGTGACTGCAGCCTCTGAGGGGGGCAACGAGGGGGAAAACAACCTGCTTGGGCACTTCTGGACTGCAGGCAAAAGCACTGGCTGGAGATAACAAACTGCACATGTGCCTTGGACCTTCTCTATAGGCTGGTCCAGCACGGCCACCTGGCAGTGCGGTGTGTGCAGCCGCTTCAGCCCGATGCTCCAGTTTGTTTGCAGTGGGGCGTTTCGCTTCTGTGAAACAAGGACTAGCCTGCTCTTGAGTTTTGGGGTTGGTCTTGGAGAACCTGTCCTCCTCCCAGGCCGCCCATTTCTCATGAGCACGTTGGAGGCTCCAGAGCTAGGTTGCTGCTGAGGAAATGAGGACTCGAGTGCCCTTAGTGCCCTGCTGCTGCCCTCAGATTGTGACTAGGAAGGTGCCACGGCCCTGTCACAAGTTGTGGGTCACTCGTTGGTTCTATATCTAGCTGGGATCAAAGATCTCAATTCAGCTCTGGTGGCTTTGCCCAGCGTGGGCTGCTCTCCTAGATTGAATGGGCAATCCCACCTGGGTAGGAAGGAGAAGGAGAGCCAGTGTGGGCCGGCTCTGAAGGAAATGGAGTTGTGACGTGAACGTGTCCTCTCTGTCCTACAGGAATGGGGGACCAGCCCCCACGAGTTCCTTGGTGCCTATAAGCTCCAGCATGACATGTCCTGGACTCCCTTTGAGGACGTTGAGAGACGAGACGCTGAAATCAAGGCCCTGGACAAGCTGCTGAGCCAGCAGGCAGCGCTGCCTCCATGCACAGAGCCCAACTTCCAGGGTCTCACCAAGTGACACGAGCCACCGCCGCGGCCGCACGGGACCTCTGAGCAGAGCCTTGAGAGGGGATGGGCTGGCAGGGGCCGAGCACTGCCCTGGCAGGGGCAGGGGAGAGCCCCAGCAATGAAAATGCTGCTGCCGCCAGTCCGTGCTCTGTACTTTAACAAGACTACTTCCAAATTCAGTCTTAACTGGATTTTCTAGTAATCGAGCAATTTCTTTCTTTGGCTCGTGCCAAGCTCTAGTGAGAGGCAGATATCAGATGGAGTCAGTCCAGGAGGGCTGGGGGCAGAAAGCAAAATCCCTTGATGCAGATGTGATAGCGCCATGAATTAATGTCCCACCTGGCCAGCTGTGGCGTGTGACGCTGCGTCCTGCGGTAGGTAATTGTTTCAGGGCTGGTTTTTGGCCCTGATGAAGAAGCACACATTGAGGAAGCTCCATGGCCTGGGAAGAGCAGCTGAAGGCCCAGACAAAAAGACGTGTTGTGATCTGAGCTGCTGGCTCTCTCCCAGCTCTTCAATTCCCTTTGACTTCCACGTGGGATGTCCTGGAGCTCTCCTGGCTGGAAAGTGTCCTCCAAAGGACCATGCACCCTCTTTGAACGTGTTTTCACAGCCCTCTTAGGTTTCTCTTGGCTTCCACTGAGCTGCCAGGGAGAAATGGGGAACATGTGGGATCCCACACTGTTTTATATCGAGTGCACCTGTGTCAGAGCCCTGGAAAATAAAAAATTCTCTCTTGCTGTCAGATGTGCCGCCATGACGGGCGCTGCATCCAGTTTTTATGGACAATGTCCCTTCTTCTGCCGTAGCAGGGAGACTTGGTGCTCTGTTAGGACATTTCCATCCCTGCCTTCCACTGGGGCCTACAGAGAGGCAAAGATCCGAGCTGCAGAGGAGATCCCTGCATGTCCACAGCCACGCAGGTCCGGGGGCGTGCAGGGATCCTGGGGTATTGCCAGCAGGAGAGAAGCCGGTTTTGCCCTCCGGCCGTTGCAGGATCAGCAAGTCCCGGCTGAGACGTCGCAAGTTGCCTCCGGAACACCCGGTTTTGCCGGCCGCGGCTGCCGGCAGCCCCGTTCCTCTTGCGCCCCGCTCCTCTGGCCTTCCCAGGGGAGGCGGGTGAGGATGTTCCCGGGTGAGGAGGAGGAGGCGGCAGCTGCCACGTCCTCCCATACCCTGCGTTACCCAAAGGTAGATTTTTAGCTGGAAATTTTTTAGCTTTTTTACCCCAATGAGCAGCTCGCACCTGCTCAGCCGTGTTTGCTCTCTTCCTTGGCACAACTGGGGAGCCATGACAAGAGATCCTGCTCTTGTGGAGGGCTGTGGTGGCCTTGGCTTTCCTTTTCCTGTTTTGTTTCCTTTCCAGCTCTGCTGGATATAGTAGCTCAGCCTTGTCCCTCCGTAGAAGAGTCGTTGGTTGGTCTTTCCTGGTTCTCAGAGGCAACACGGGTCTTTTTCAGCTGTTTTTTCCATGCACCCCCCTCACTAGCCGCACTGGGCCGATAAAGAGCAATGTATTATTATTGTTATACCAGGCTGTATAATTAATTCCTTATCAAGCTGCAAGTGCCTAATTTGAAGGTGTTTCTTTTTTTCCTCTCTGTTGCATAGCCCCAAGCATTATTTTACTGCACTTTATTAAATCTCAGATTGGAAGGTAGAAAGTTAATTACTGCATGGGCTTTTCTGTGGGGCTAATTACAGCAGCAGCGGAGAGCTCTGTGTGGGTTGATTTACACTCCTCTGGGAAGAGGTTTTCCTGCTCCAGATTTGTTTCTGTGGCAGCAATCGTTCTTCGGCACTAGAACCCATGCAATGACAGATGCAGCCAAGGCTGGTGCTCAGCCCCTGATTCTCCAGGTTGCCATCGGCAGGATTTGGTCACATCTGCTTTCCTAATTCTCTAGCAAGAGCGCTGACTCTCTGGGCTCTGTAATTCCTGGGTGTCCCAGTCCTTCTGCACTCTGCGGGAAGCAGGGATGCGGCCGACGAATCCACCTGCTCTGCTGGGATGCGACGCCAGAGAGGGGAAATCGCATGGCCGGCAGCTTGGGAGGAGCAGCTTGGTGGATCACGCTGGTGCTGCCGTCCCGTGAGCGGCCGCTCTCATGTGATTCAGAGCCAGGAGCTGGAACAACATCAGAAAACTGGGAAGATAAGTCGGGAGACGCTGCTGCGGAGCCAGGAGGGCAAGGAGGGAGCTGGTAGTGGGAAGGCGAGACGTGCCGATCCTGGGCTTTCCGCAGTGAGGATGCGAGGAACTTGGAAACAGTCCATTGCGACCCCTTGCTTGCCACTGAGGTTGCATCCAGGTGGCTGTTGCTTTAGGCAGAGCTTTGCTCAGATTAAAAGCTTTTAAATCCGGCATCTCATGCAACTTCGCTCTTTCTGTTCCCTGTTTGTCCATAGGACCCAGCCTTTAATGTAATGCTTTGGAATTCAAGGCTGGATGCTGCAGCTCTTGTTGCCTTCTGACCCCGCAGGGGCGTTTATTAGCCCCTCCGTGCTCTAAATGGTACCGAGAGTGCAGGCAACTTCCCTTTGACAGGATAAAAGCAGCTCAGCTCCTGCTTGTGGCCCTCATTTGATTGCACATTTTTGCAAAACCACAAGCAGGGCTGGAAAATCGGCCCCAGCGCAGGTTTTTTGGCCTTGCCAGATGGTTCTCAGGCGCCTGCGTTAGGGGTTTTTGCACCGCAAGCGTTTTCTCCTGCTGATCCCGTGTTGTCTTCCCAAACTGCGGTGTGAGACCAGCAGCTTCTTCCCGGCCCTTAAGCGTTTTAATAATGTGGACAAGTTTTCTCTTCCGGCCAAAAAGGGCAGGTTGCGAGTGCTGCTTCCCCAGCTGGCAGCACAGGGAGCGTGTTGCCCTCCTGTGCTCTCATTTCTGCAGTTTTATCCTTTTCTTTCCCTGTTATTCAGGGGGAGGCTGATGCAGTTTTGGCATAGGGCATATGGAACAGCCCTCGAGGTGTGTGCATTGCAAATCACCCCCCAAATCGGGGTTTCTGCAGCTCCCAGGGTGTGTGCATTGCAAATCACCCCCAAAATAGGGACTTCTGCAGCCCCTGGAATGCATGTACAGCAATACTGGCCCCGCGTGGGAGCCTGTACAGCCCAGGGGCTGCATGTACAGCAATGCACATTAGGGCATATGGAACAGCCCTCGAGGTGTGTGCATTGCAAATCACCCCCCAAATCGGGGTTTCTGCAGCTCCCAGGGTGTGTGCATTGCAAATCACCCCCAAAATAGGGACTTCTGCAGCCCCTGGAATGCATGTACAGCAATACTGGCCCCGCGTGGGAGCCTGTACAGCCCAGGGGCTGCATGTACAGCAATGCACATACAGCACGGGGGCTCCCGTGGCCGCTGGAGCGCATGCCCGCCCTGCAAACCCAAACCGGCTCTTTTTCCCCCCAAAAAATCCGCCGCGGTGCTCGGCGCTGCTGGGGGGAGGGGGGAGGGGACG